GGGGTTTTGGCACTAGAGGAACGGGGGTCAACTCTCTGCTAAGCCACTAGGTGGCTTTGGCAAGTCACCTAGCTTCTCGAAGCCTCGGCTGCCTCTTCTATGACAGAGGGCCTAGGGTAAGCTCTCCGTACAGGTGTGAAGAGCATCAGGCGAGACAATGGAAGCATTTCACACACTGTAAAGCGCTATATAAATGGTTAACTTTTAAAATAAATTCAAAGGCTAGGGTGCCCCAGGGGGCCATGAACAGACAATAATAAGGGGCTTCTATCGCAAATAGGTCACAGGATCCCTGAGGCCCTGCCAGGGGAACACCCCCCAGGCCCCATCCGCATGGGATGCTACTCTGGGCAAAAGGGCCAGGCACCCTGCTCCAGTCTTCTGGGCCGGAACGCCACGCAGGCCGAGTGCTGCTGCACCCAGGGCACCGGCTGGGGAGATGCCTGTGAGCTGTGCCCAGCCGAGGACTCAGGTAAGGCCCCCAAGGGTCCCAAATCCTCTCAGGGTCAGCTCTGCAGGGTGACACTGAAAGAAGGGGGGAGAGGAAGTGGGGGGTGGCAGAACCCTTCTCCCTCTGAGCTTGGATGCCTCCCTGCACAGTCGAATTCAGCGAGATCTGCCCTAGTGGGAAAGGCTACATCCCTGTGGAAGGAGCCTGGATGTTTGGACAGACCACATACACAGGTAACCTCCACAGACCCTCCTTCCCAAACGCCACTCACCTGACTAGGCCCGGCCTGGTCCTCCAGGAGGCCCCCAGGGAAGCTCTGCACGCAGTCCCTGCCTCTCAGGGTGCTTCCAACCAACGTTCCTGTCCCAGGGCTGCAGATTTTTAGCTGGAAGTTCTGACCTGAGCTCCTCCTGAAGTGTCTATACAGCCCCACTTTGGTTTCTCTGCTCACTCGAGGCTGAACCCTCCAAGGAACAAACTATGATGCCTTGACTAACCCAGTCACAGGGCACAGGGACACAGGCCAGAGGCAGCTGCTGGTCTCCCTGGCCCCACTTACGAAGCCTGAAACTTTGGGGAACTCACACTCAGAAAGGGTGGTTCAGGTATGCGCTCACACCTGCAACTGGAAAAGGAAATAACAGAATTGGAAGTGGTTCCCCTCGAATGCTTGCTATGTGCCAAGCACCGCTTTAAGCACCTTACATGTATTAACCTTTTAATCCTCATAATAACCCTAAGAGGTTAAGTAGTGGTATCCATATTTTCTAGGTAGGAAACTGAGGCAAGGAGAACTTAAGCAATTTGCCCGAAGTCACCCACCTAGCAAGTGGCAAGACCGGGATTCGACCCCAGCCAGTCTGGCTTTGGAACCCCTAGTCCTAAGAACTGCCCCATCCTGCTTCTCGCCTTCCCCTTGCCTCAGCTCTGCCCTCCCACAGATGCCGATGAGTGTGTGATGTTTGGGCCCGGTCTCTGCCAGAACGGCCGGTGCCTCAACACGGTGCCTGGCTACATCTGCCTGTGTGATCCTGGCTACCACTACGACGCTGCCCGCAGGAAGTGTGAGGGTGAGACACCTGGCACCCCTCCCCACCCTGGGGCCCAGAGCTGAGTGCTCACCCACCCCTGCCAGCCAGCCCAATTCTTGCTGGGAGTTCCCCTTCCCGGGGAAGACACCCACTACAGCGGGCAGGTCTGAGGTGAGGGAACCTACCGGAAAGGCATCCCTGGGAAGGGGGTGAGGAGGGGACACAGTTACAAGAAAACCCCCTTCCCTGAAGGTGGCCTGTGGGCAGGCCGCGTTGGCACTGCCCCCGACCTTCCTCCCATCTCCCTGCCTCCCAGATCACAATGAGTGCCAGGACATGGCCTGTGAGAATGGCGGGTGTATGAACACGGAAGGCTCTTTCCACTGCTTCTGCAGCCCGCCCCTCACCCTGGACCTCAGCCAGCAGCGCTGCGTGAACAGCACCAGCGGTGCGGGTCAGTGGGGGGGGGGGGGGCCATGGGGGGGGGGGGG